GTTTTCCAGGAGATATCTGGAAAACCGAGCTTTCGCAGCACAGACCTATGTTTTGCAATTCTTTTCTAAAAATAAGCATCCCCGTGAGATTCAGCGTTGCTGACTACGTATGTTTCATGCGATTTCAATATCACCGCAAGTCACGTAATACCAGTCCTGGGGCTCTAAAGAAATCTGATACCAGACCTGAACCGCTGGAAACCAAGGTCTCGCTTGGCTCTTGTTCTGTAGAAAACACTTTGCACTATCTACTCATGCGAAAATATTAATTGATTTATGCTGCGAATTTCAGAGTTACGGTTCTGTTTTCCAGAGATCTCCTGGAAAACCGCTCTTTGAAATATTTTTTGAAAGCTCGTGCGTTACATAAAGATGCGGCGATGTTTTGGGTATCGAATGAAGAAGACCACAACCCTCTAACTATTGTTAGGCAAAAGTTATTTAAAAAACGGCTTGCATGAGCGAAATAATAATCCGCTTAAGAATCCAAAATTTCTAAAAATGGGCTAAAATAACTGCTAATTAGTAAGTTTCTGGGAAAACAAATTATGTCTGTCCGTAGGGGTGAATGCAATGAACAACTATTGTCACAATCAATAAGTTTTAATTGTAACATAGTGGCTAGACAGTGCAAAGAGCTCTCTACAATTATGCGCAAGATCGACCTCTCCATCTGTTGTGGTTCTCGAATGGCAGTCATTTTCCTGAGTCACCCGTAATCCGTTATTATTTCGTGAACGTAATTTGTCGGCCTTGCGCAGAATTGTAGAGAGCACTTGAGACTGTCTAGCCACTATGTTGCAATTAAAACTTATTGATTGTGACAATAATTGCCGGGGATTTCGGAAGCCCTTGTTGCAAGCATACGCACCTCAAAACCATGCCACGGATTCTGACTACACACAGCATATCTCATGCTTAAATTGTGCATCTTTTGAAAACAGATTCAATAATCTATATCGTATCTAGGCTGAAATATTCGAAAAACATAAGATGTCGCAAAACTTTTGCCACACTTGGTCTCATACCTTTTGTTTATTTAGCTCCGCCATTTCGACATAGGAAAAAATTCGTTAAGGATCATACTGCCTGTACTTCATTTTCATTTTCGAATAACTATTTTGCTGATTGATTCTGTTAGTATACCTTTAAAGTAGATACAATTGATCAATATTAATCTCGTGTCACGATTAATATCATTCGATGATAATAAATTACGTATGAGATGATTTGTTTGTTTTTCAACCCATTGATTAATTTCTTGTACAATTGTATTTGTTGATGATGATAAAGAATTTTCAAAATCTACTAATTTTATATCGGTTAAGTAATGTTGTTTTAACAATGATAAATATTGATCATTTAATTTATAATTTTGTTGACCATATAAACGATTAGCTAACTTTAATTTTAATTGTTGGTGATCATTTTCAGATGTTGGCAAAATAATAGATTTCATTATTTGTCCAACTGTTTGATTTAATTCATTTAATGATGAATAGTGTAACGTTTGTAACATTTGTTCAAGTGTTTTGGTCTCTGCGCCATTTGCACACATAGACATGGCTAATGCAACACTTAAAGGTGATAGAAATATATTTGTATTCTGTTCATTATTTTTTCGAATAGTTTGATAGAATTTTAAACCAAATTCTTCAAAATTTATTGATGGTGAAAATGTCACATGTTCAAATTTTCGTTTTAAATTTTGTTGAGCCATTGCGATGAAAAAAAGTAATATGAGAAAAATAGATTACACATTACATATATAGAGGTATTCTTTTCTCGTTCTGTTATGATGAATAATATTTTTTTATCTTGTGTAGAGTATGTAAACCTGTGCTTTTCTCTCTACACAGAGAACAAATATTTATCATTGTTATTGCACAAGATCAATGTAATAAAACTAATTTTTTACTATATCGGTTTCTCTTCAAATTAATCTATCGGCACGAAAAAGAAAAACTTCAGATATTTCTGTTTTTTCTCCAACAAACTAATTTATTCTGCTATAAGAATATAAGAATTCTAATTTGCTATGACCCACGTTCATGTTCCACGTTGTATCTGAAACCCGAAAGTATGACTTGACTGTATTATCTTGTTCCTCACACATCAGAGTTCCGTATGGACTCGAGTAGAAAAGCTTTTTAGGGAAGCCGTCAAAAATAATAAAATGCGTAGAACGTAGACTATATTCTACGCGTAGTAAAATCGAAGCGTAGAATAAATTTTTCTACGCGTAGATATAGGTCAATAGAACTGCGACAAATAGCGATTTTCTTTTCTTTTCTTTTTTCTTTTCTGTTTTCTTTTCTTATTCACGTTATATATAGTGTGTGCTCACGTTGCAATGTACGGTACACAT